AGCACAAGCTTTGGATGGTTAGAAGTAAAGTTTACCGCTCCTTTTCCTGAAAGAACATGCTAGAAGTTACATAATCCAACCATGGTGAGCAGGACCTTCTCGAGATCTCCCTCTGCGAGCAGAATGGCCGGTGCTGCGCGACATTGCGCAGCTACAGCCTCCAACCTGGAGAGTTGGGTGGCAATTATCAGGTCGTCTACCATTGATACCTGGAGGGGTACAAGTAGGTGCTGGTACCGGTTTCATCCCATTTCCAATGTTTTCAAAATCCAATTTCTATGATTTGGACTTAAACAATGGAAAAGCCCGGCAGTGGAAAATCATCAGTTCACCTTAACTCTAGGAGGAAACATAAAATCCATGTTTCGGTTTGTTTCGGTTACGCATTTTTCTATCCTCTTTTGCAGTCCTATTGTCCCACGGAGAAGCACGTGGTCACTGCTGTGAAGCACTGCTTTTGTCAGCAGCATCGTGCGTATGCTAAGCCCAATGCCAGATAAACGACTCCCATTTGGGGCTGGTTCAATCCCACCCAGTTATGGCAAGTCCTTGGGGTTGGTGTATGACATTGGGTCTGCCACAATATTTTGTTCTTCCCCACCTCCAAGACCCCCGGGACCCATATGGGACCCATGCCTCTGTCGATTTCGTCCCACCAAAGCCCAGGTGTGGACCTCCAGACGAAATGCCAGGAACTTCCTTGAGAACTATGACCCAATCAAAAGTGTGATGTCTTCCAAGTACTTTGGAGTGGAAGCAGACATGTCAAATAAAAATGGCCGGATCCCAGGCCAACTTAACTATCTATCCATATCTATCCATATCTATCCATATCTATCCATATCTATCCATATCTATCCATATCTATCCATATCTATCCATATCTATCCATATCTATCCATATCTATTATCTATCATTATCTATCCATATCTATCCTATCTATCCTATCTATGCCCCCATACGTCCCCCCCTTTCAGGCCACCTGGCCCCCATTGCACCTGCGCCTGTTTGGAGGCGATCAAGGCATCCAAGTGCTCCACCATGAGGCGTCCTGTGCTGAGGAGATCTTCAACCCACTACAATTCAAAAAAAAAAACAGAACGGGTTCTCATGGGGGAGTGATTTTGCAGCTCAAAATGGTGGAAAAGACTGAGTATTTACAGTGTTCTTTCCTCAACTTTCATCCACATGTCAGCAAAGAGCTTTTGCCCCAAAAAATCTGAGCCTCACCGTGTACCCCCTCCCAGACTCGCCCCTCCTGTGAAGCCAGTGGCCCCAAAAATGATGACGTCATAAGCGCGTCCAGGTGCCGCGGTCTCCTGCGCCAAGGGGCATGTTTTGAGGCGCGGGATGGGGATGGGGGTGGGGGGTGGGGCACAAAAAACCTTGAAGAGTCCTGAGAGTCCAGAGCTAACTTGGTCCTTTGTTCCTCCTCCATCACCCTGGCTTTATCATTGGGTCTACCATGATTCGTGGAACCCATTTGAATCCGCACCTGTGGGGGAAGCTCGGCCCTTTGACCTGCCAGCGGGTTGTGGTTGCCATTGAATCCACATGGAAATCAGGTCATGAGTAAATTTGCTATCCACATGTAGGGAATCATCTGGATGATATTCCAATACGGCTCTGGGCCGAATTGGCTGTCAAAAGAGTCGGATGCTTTACCACTAAGCAAACCACCCGTTTTCTCCAGCTTTTGGGTGCCTTTCATGTTTGACCATCTACCATCTTCAGGAAAACGAAGGCTGACCACTTTTCAGGGATCAACCTACATGGCTAGTCAGCCTATTTCACCAGCACCGAAATATCCAGTCAGCCGGGTGATGGTGAACTCCCCATACCCCAGAACTGGCCTCTCCAATGTCACCAAGCCAACACAGCTTTTGCGGTACATGTGCATAGAGTTTTGAAAAGCCGTTTATACCGTTGGCGTGTTTCTAGATTTACCACGTTGCTGTTCACCATGACCGAGTCGAGGAGTGGAAAAATCCTCGCCTAGTTCCGGTGCTGGTTCCTTCGAAAAACTCAGTCGAAAGGAGCCGCCTGCGACCTGAGGCGGGGGGTCGGAAGCCAAGCGCTGCAAAGCGGGAAAATATGGAAATAATGAAGGGAAAACATGAGATCTATAAAAAAATATAAAAAGGATGGATTTGTGTGAACAAATGAATCAGGCATAATATCATGCATAGAGAGAGAGAGGAGAAAAAAAAAAGATGGATGAGCAAAAAATGTGAGGTCCATAAAAACCTCGGAGGTTGCCACCAACACTGAGGTTTACCAAGAACTGAATCAAGGGAGAATTAACCGGACACCAAAATAAAGATTGGGGGCAATTGCCATGGTTTCCTGCACATGTTCTCGAATATCAATCCATTGACTGAAAAAGGGTGAATGGGCCACAACCATATCCACAACAAATGGGGATGGCACCCAAGAGGCAGAGGCTTGGGCAAGGGAAGGACAGGTAGTTAGCCACTGGTCATGAGGCCGTTGTCGCTGTCCAAATGCAGTTGACCAACTATCTGGGTGTAGCGACGCTGTAGCCCAACCTTGGCATAACTCCAGCGGCATAGATTGGGCTATCAGTGCATAGCATCAGCCAACTACAAGTGGCCAAAGCTAGAAAGGTGATGATGCTTGTGGTGCCTGGCTATGTGGGTCGGTTCATGGAATTGGGTTTGCCACATTAAAATTCAACAGATTCGCCATAGCACAGATTCTCAACATCCCAACTAGGACTCCCTTCAGACAGTCACCACCCCCAGGACGCCGCACGACATTTCGGTCGCAGTGGCCCTGCAGGGGCTTGAAACGGCCCACTGAATCTCTGGATGCTTGTGGGTGTCTGAGGCCCCCACCCTTCATCGCCCAAAAAGCGCATGTTGATATCAAGGGAAAATGCAAATGTGGGGGGCAAAGTGGAAATCGGGGGAGCTACTTCTCACCATGCGAACTTGATTGCTTGTTTCCCATCTTTACAACTTCTGCGACCTGTGCCTTTGGTACCATGCGAGGCAGAACTCAAATCCTGCACCCAAAAAGATTCAAAAAGCCTGAGATGGCACCTGATGCCCATGAATTTTGATCTCAAAGCTGCGGTCCATTAAGATCATTGAGACCATGCTTGGGTCTGCTGGCTGGAGATGATCGTTCCCCTTTGAGGCGTCGCCTGTTTGTTTCACTCAGGTGGAGTCCAACCGAAGGAACGAAGCGTGTCATTTTTGAGCATGGGTCAAGATTGGGTACCCCAACATTGGGAAGGTGTGTGGTGGTTTCGTTTCAAAATTCACCGCCAAAAGAAACAGTTGGTTCCCCCAGCATCATGTGCAAATGTCACTTTCATGCGAACCTCGGACAGCCACTCGCCGGCGGTGAGCTTCCTTTCTGCCCATCCCTTTTTCCCATCACTTTTTGATGATTGGGTCTTCGTGCTGCCTCAAAATCGACTGATGCTACTTGGAGAATCAGCCCACTTGGCGTCTGTTGTTGTAACGTGCTAAAAATGCTAAAACAAGAAAAAAGTAAAATGATAAATATACATATGATATAACCCTTGTTTATAACCCTTGATGATAAGGCCCCTAATTTGGATGATCCCAAGAACAACTGGGTCTGAGTCATATCTCCTAATGACTCCAACTCACCAGTTCCTCACCAAGTAGGCTGAATCCGCTTCAAGCCACGATGCCATACTGCTGCAGCAGCACCTGGTTCCTCTGCTCCATGCTATAGGGCGATCCCTGCAGGTAATCAATGCATAGCCTGGGAAGCCGACCCGCAGAGGGGGTTGAACCGTTTCCAAGGTCCAGCAAGGGTTGGTAAATGTCCCAATTGAATATCACCCAAGTATTGGGGATATAATGTCCAACAGATATTTGAAGGTGATGTTCAAAATCCCCAAAAAGGGACATTTACCAACCCCTGTCCAAAATGGACGAATCTTCGGCCCATCTTCGCCCCATCTGAAGGGCCAAGAAGCTCCTCCTCGGGCTCAATCGGCCGGAGGGTTCGCACCAAACACCGCTGCGGATAGGCCGGGTCGCTGGAAACAAAGCCTCAGGGCCAACTTGTCAACTCCAAATCTCCATTGGATATAGATTCTAGATACAGAACAGAATGACCATAAATGTCCGATTCAGCAACATGTCCAAGATGGGACCTTGTGTTTGATCTCCAGAGTGGTCATCCAAAAATTGTCAGTTTACTCACAACACCTTGGCGTGATGCGCTTGGCTTCTTCGACTTCCATGGAGCTCCTAGGTCCTACTACAAGCTTGAGGTGTTGGATGCTGAGCTAAGGGACAGTTGGCTGCAGGGTCGTGGTTCATGGCGGAAGTGACCTGGTCAAACAGAAGCGGCCGGGCGGTTGGGTTTGGGTCAGCAAAAATGATTGATCTACATCAACAAATGGGATGGAGACATAGGCAAACCTGGGCAAACCTCACACGGCGACCAGAAAGAGCAGTTCCCCCACAACCTCTTGCGACTGAGGGGCACTGTATATTGCCATGCCTTTGGCTACATCTTCAGCATCTCCATCTCCGCTGGCCACCTGGAAATTTCATGAGTCCCCCAAGGACATCGAGTTGCAAACAAGGTTCAACAGTCTCACCGTCGCACCATGACACTCGTAATTTATAATGTCGCCCCCAGAGTAAGAACCCCCCCAGGCTGCTTCATTGCGGGGTCGCATTTAAGTAGCAAATGAGCTCTGTTTGGCGGGAACCCCATAATTAGTCAAACGGGTCTTGCTTATCCTGCGTTGACATTACCTATAGTAAAAAAGACCACATAAATATTCCACCGTTTGCAAATGATGTTCCATTGTTTCCACACAAAATCACTCAAGCTTCATGATGGGCGCCGTCACCATCGAGAGCACACCCCAAACAGAAAACAGACATCAACAAAAACACGATAGCTGGTGAAATCCCATGAAAAAGGAAACAACAACACGAAAAAGAACTTCGGAAACCAATATCTCAATATCTCTCCCAAATCCCATGAACCTCCTCATTTTGACCTATTTTGACCTGGTCATTTCCCATTGTTTCCACCACATTTCCACATTTCGATTTCCACCTGGGCGTGCAGTGCCATGGCGTTCACCCGCAGTAAACCCATCAGCCGCCCCAGGGCTTCGGGACCCGAGCGCAACAACGCCTCTGCGAGGGCACCTCACTGAAAAACGGAGTTTTGTGTGTGTGTGTGTTATTTTTGTTTGTACATGTTTATATACATACATACATATATATATAATATACATATATATATATACGATTTTTTATGTATATACATTTATGCATTTATTTATTTATGCATTTATTTATTTATTTATTTGTACGTGTACGTTTCTGAATCAAGTGCGGGTCAAAGAAGGAGAGATACCAATGTCCACCTTTCGTTTTCCGCCAGGATGCAGGTCTTTCCCTCCAAGACCGACAGCAACACGTCGCCCATCTCGGAGGTTTGGCTGCGCACCGTGGATTGGAAGAAACGATCCAAGGACTCCTGAGCTCGATCCCAGCGGATCCCGGTGCCAGTGGTTTCCTCTTGACGCAGGAGCCATGGAAAAAAATTTCGGGATGACAATTTCGGAACTTGATCCATGGTTCTCAGTGATCATGTCTTGTTTTGGTCAGGAAACATCATCCATGGTTGGGCACCCCAATGTTGAGACAGCTCCGTAAAGTGGCGGCCTCATAGCTAGCTAAGTTTGCTTGTGCCTAGGTTCACTAGGATCTGATGTGGTAAACCCAATGCCATCAAAAGATGGGTGGGATTCCAACCATCCTCAAATGGTAGGTTTGTGGCAGAGGGTTTCCACATTATGCTAGACATCTTCTATCATCTATATATATATACCCTCTGGTTATTTAACATAGCCATGGTATAGATGGTCCATTTACAGATGGTTTACCTATAAAAAATGGTGATTTTCCATGGCTATGTTAGTCATAACCAGAGGGTATACTAGATGTTAATGGGGGACACCTGCACTGCCGCACCTCATCCTCTGAGTCAAAGGCTGGACCCGAAGTGTCGGAGTCGGACTCCTGGCCACCCAGGATGAATAGATCCAGCACCAAACTAACGTTTCTGGCTGGTATTACAACGTGGTGCCCGCAAGATAGCTAAGTTGGTTTATAACTCTAATAACTAGGAGTTATGGTAGATATATATCATATATCTATAGTTAATGGGATTATAAACCAACTTATAACTGGGGGGCACCACCTTGTAGTGGTATCTTGATATTAAGTGAAAGGGCTTAACTGTGCATTTTTTCCTGCAACTTTTGTGGATTGCAGAAGCCTTGGAGCAGCCAGCACCTGCATGCTTTTCCATAGGCAGATTGAAGTCAAGCATCTCAACGGTATCAGCACACCCATCACAAATTCCAATGGCATACCAGCCCATGTCCCACTTGTCGTACTGCACCTATGAACTGAATATGTTAATCTTTTCGTGGTACCCTACCGAAACAACACCTTCCCGAAGCCCAAAGTGACCTCGTAGATGGGTCTCTTCATGGTCTCCCACCAGCAGGGCGAGGCGTAGCCGGACCAAGGACTTTGGTCCCTGCAGTGTGGGGCGTAAAAAATCGAGATCCACACCGCATCTGATTTGGTCCAAAAGTAGCCCATTTTGACCCAGACCCATTTCTAACACCCAATATTTTTTGAACCAAAATATACACACACTAATGTGGGAAACCTAGACTAAAAAAACTATCATTTGGGGATGGTTTATAGATGGGTTTTGGCGGATTGTTTGTGGCATTGAGTTTACCACATTTTCCAAGCTTCTAGGGATTTCTAGGGGGTACCCAGTGTTGCCCCGTACCCCCCATTTGCAACACCCAACTGCGACCCTTCAACCCACCCACCCAAGGTACCAGAGATCTTGCTCAACGGAAAACTCCGAGGTTAAGGTAGCCAGCGCCCTGGCGGCCAGGACGTAGTACTCATTGCAACATTCGCGCCTCAGCTGGACGCTCGAGCTGTATCGGCTTGTTTGGTTTTTTTTAATCAGAAAAATATGAAAACCGCTCCGCATTCTTGCCTCAACTTGGTCTCTATTTGGTTGATGCTGCGTTGGGGCTAGGCATCCTTACGCCTGTTGCTCGTAGTCGGCCCAGCGGGGGTTCGAGGAGGAACACAGCACAGAATGATGTGCTACGAAGGCGTCCTCCCTGCACGCCTCCCCGGGTGCAAAGCTATTTGGAGCCCCTCCCCCTGCAACACCTAAACGGGGAATCGCTGGGGCCAGCGGAAAAAATTGGGAAACTATATAACCACCCTGCAATGATTGATGGATATGGCCCCCAAGTTGAGAATCTTACATTTAATAGGGTGTATTGCTATCACCCTATGAACCAAAACATGCAAACTCACTGGCTCAAGTGTCCTACCAAGTCTTGCAACCTGTCTTGGACCAATCTCATTGTGGAAGGCAAAAAGTTCGCCTCGCTACTGTAGGTATATAGTACCTCGCAGAAAGATAGGTACTAAGTGATTTGCCACTACTTTCGTGGGTTTTGACTCTTGTATCTTGTTGGGTGTTTCTTGGGTGTTTCCATGCGCACACATAAGGGGGTCAGCTAAGGTCGAGCCTCCGAACAGTACCAAGCTCCGCACCCCAAGGCACAAAGCACCAGCGATGCTTCGCCTGCAGCCGAAAGGAGAGAAAGAACAATGGAGAGAACAAATGTGACTTACCTATTTTTACATGATTTTCCCATTGAAACCGCCATGTTTAGATGATGTTCCCATTAAGACCTCCATTTATAGCTGATTTTCCCACTAAAATCTCCATTTTTAGAGATGTTCCATGCCACGTTTGACTATCAGATAGTATTAGTATTGTCTTGCCCACGTTTCTCTCCTCTCAAAGCAAAGATTCTTCCCTGCTCTCCATCTCTTTAGTTGCTCACCACAGGGACAAGTCCCGTTTCAATTTTCAACTTAATTGGTCGGAATCTCCCTAATTGACGTGCATACAAAGGATTACAAAGGGCCTCTGTGTAGCGGCAAGGGCCCAACCACCAGTGCCTCCTTCGACGTACTTCATGCAGTGCTGGCAATGGCATGTCACATTGGTCTGGTCAAACATCAGCAGAGCCATGCCGCAGACGGGATCTTCTTCGAAAAGCTGTTGGCCCTGGTAAAACGCATTGCTAAGGCCACATCTACAATGGAGGTTCCATTAAAATTAGGAGACGGTCACACCATGGGGGTTCAACAAAAATATCTACAGGAACCGGGGGCTGGTTGGGTAGCTTGTGTGACATCACCAGAACAACGAATCATGCGACCCTTGCCTTGCAATCTGAAGATTGAACATCTGAAGCGAGCAACATCCAAACGTCTGCATGAACCCGGAACCTACATGACCTCGTTCCTTTTAAAGGCTACTCACCTACCAAATTCTAAAGTCTAAGCTTCCCCAAGATATCCTTTAATTATACACATATATATATATATACATATGATATATATATATATATATGTGTGTGTGTGTGTGTAATATGCCCATTTCTGATTGTTCAATTCACCCTGTCCAAAAATTGCTCTTGCCAAGTCCTCCTCCAAAGCCCTTGTGGTGAAGAGCCCATTGCCCTTCGCCGCGTCGCAGGGCCGGATCTCCAACCCTTCGGGACACGCGCGGTGCCATGGCATTGGTCGAGCTCTGCGAGCTGCTGTGGTTGAGCTGGACTGGCTGGTTTGGATTGGAAGATTTGCCCCAAAAAAAAATGGAACCCGCCCAAATGCAGATATTGGCAGATTTGGTAGGCGGAAAAAATCTTCCAAATCCTTTCTTTGGGTGTTGCATGTTGCTTTTTGGTCATCTTGGAGTTGATTTGTCAACTATCAATGCTGGGGTGACTAAGCCTTGAGTGGAGAAGCGTCTGCAATTGAAGCTATTGTCTTCCAGAGTCTAAACGGCTGCACCCACCGAACAACTGCAGGATTTCGGATTGAATTTCAAGGCGGAGAGACAAATCCATCATAACATTGCCTGTCTAATCTATTCTTGCAGGGAATCCTCTGTAGATTGTTGGATCGCTGATTTCTTGACACACAACGCCTCAATGCCCAGAGCCATCATCTGATCAGTCACCCTTTTCTTGTCATCTGATCAGTGCGTCAGACGGAGTTTTGTGAAGCATAAAAGCTCACAAATGTCAAGTTGGAAGCTGTAAATGGCCAATCACCACCAGTTCCTCTAGGATTGCAGTGAACCCAACTCAAAATCTCTCAAAACCAGTTCCTCTTTTCGGTAGAACAACTTCCCCATGGTTTTTTATAGCTGGGTCGATGGGCTCCAGATTTTCATGGGTTCACAACATCACCATCTCAGACCACGATCTGAGCCTCGCCCTGTCCACCATGGGTCCAGGTGGCGCTGGGAGAGGAGCCAACCACCTGATCCTCGATGCCACCCTCGTTGGTGCCGCGGATGATGCGGAAGAAACCCTTCTCGCCCCAGTACCTGGGTGGTCAAGATGGCCCTTTTTTTAGGTGAGTTCGGAAACTATGGTATGGATGGGTTTTGAAGTAAGATGATTTTGCAGACTATTTATCGTCAGTCTTGGATGGTGGGATATGTTCAGTGACTAATGTTCAACTTGTCCAACATTTCAGCTCCCCTGAAATAGATCGAAATGCCTGACCAAAGATGTCAAAGGGCATACGCACCATCTCAAAGAAGGATGCTTTTGATAAATCGGTTCCGCACGACTACTCATTCCAGGCCACTTCCCATTCCAAACCCAGTTGCGGGTTCCAAGAGTTCGCAATCTTCCAGTACTTCACGCCATTCTCCACACCCCAACCAACCATGCGCACGGCATGCCCACCAGCGGCTGACCCAGAGACGTGCTTGTAAATGCCGTGGGTGTACAGCTCAAAGTCCGAGTAGACCGTGAAGGCAGTTTCCACTGGGCCGCCTGACGGTACAAAGATGGCCAAGAGGTGGGACTGATGGATATAGATGAGGAGCTGATTTGTCTAGGGAAGAGGGGGGGATACCACTGGCCCACCTGCCATGATCATCTGCTGAATGGCCTTCTCTCCAGATGCGGTCTGGGTCTTGCCGTTGTAGCTGTACTTGTCCTTTTTAAAGTCATCATGTGGCGCCTTGGCCGTGGAATCACACTTGGTGGGCCCAGCTGGGGACGACTCTGAGGGGCATCCCGGCTTGCCCTCTGCGGGGTAAGGATCTTTGCCCTGGGGCCCATGGTGATGGCAGTGAGGCAATGAAAAATCGCTGCAGAGGCCCTTGCCGAAGGGTCCAGTGCCCTGGTATTGGCCACCACTGACCGCACCCGTGGACTTGATGTAGCTCCAGGGGGTGTCGATCATGCCGCCATCACAGCCATCCGGGTTGGAGTTGAAGCACACCTTGGTTGTGCATCTCCATGGAGAGATGAGATAAACTCCAAAGCTGGGCCAAAGCTGGGCCTCCCAGTGGAAGATCCCCTCCAGTTTAGGACCTTCCATCCCATGTCTCAATGACAGTTTATGTGTTTTCCACATCAACATTCCCATGAAATTTCTGACAAAACATTTCTACCCGACTAAAATAACCATCAAATGATTTTAAGAAGATCAAAATAGCCAAGAACCACAAAAACTGCCATCAAATGATGAACATCCGACCAGGTCGCATCCTGAGCCGAGATGGGCACCATGGTCTTTCCCTTGGTGGCGATGCACATGCGATCCGAGGCTGCTTCGGCACCTGCGAAGGCCCAGCAGCAACCTCAGAGTTGTTGAAATTGCTTGGAGGAGGTGTCTATTTATTTATATTATATATATATACATATATATAGGGTACCTCTCTAAATCCATTGGTTACTCATCATTTTCCCTTTGAAAGTATCATGCAGGGGGTTTTTCAAAATTTTCGAACAAACCTGTCTATTTTCTGCCGACAAAAAGGGGGATCGACTTTTTCAACCTAGGAAACTTAGCAAATAACAAAAAATGGTGATACATCAATTGACAATGGCAAAACATGGAAGATACCAGCAGGAAGGTTCCTTGGGATGTGTTTTGTGCCGCCAAATCGACCTTTTGTCCATCGTTTTGAAAGCAGAAGTGGGGATGGGAACATCAAACCATTGGGATAAAACGAACATCCATCCGTTGCAATGGTCGATGAAGCAATTTCTTGTTCTTTATCCAGCTCCAGGCAGATCCTTTGCTTTAACGGTAGTGGGACCCCCAAGTAACAATTACCATTGGTGATTTCAGTCATTGCTCTATTCATTCATCCACCATGCTATAAGACATCTCCAAGAACTTGGACCCATTTCTTGCCCCAAAGTGTTTTTTGTTTAATTTTGGTGTGCCATCTTAACTGGGCCCATGTTCAAACTGTTGGTATTTAAAAAAAATATATATGGAAAGCATATGAAACTACAGTCATTTCACGTCGTTTCAAGGGTTGGATCATCCAGTTCCAGTTCCATGGGTCCCCAGTTTCGTTTGCCGCCAAGGCGCCACAGTTGGACTGGTCACCTGAACCCAATCGTCATGGATCAACTAATGGATCAACTCACCAGACGTTAGCGAGATATAAACCTGTGATATGATCTCCCCCGTGATTTACGGTCGAGCTGCCAACCCCAATCAGCAAAATATATCAACATACCACATTCATACCAGCGGGGCATCAAAACGCTGTCGCACTTTAGATCGCGTTTGTGGTTCGTGGTTCAGTTTTTCGTTGAGTAGTTCGTCTATCTCTCCTGTTCACTATTTTGGTGGTGATTCACCTTGAAATGTTCTGTGTGTTGAGTATCTGTACCCATTGACTCTAACGGTATGCTAATTTGATATACAATATCATTGATATACCAATGTTATATAATATACAAAAATACAATACGCATACTACATGGCAGTTCTATACGTTATACATCACATACATACATATGTATATTTTATATATAGAGAGGGAGAGAGAGAGACAGAGAGAGATAGATACCAATGTGCCCATTTTATCCCCAGTTGCGAATGTCATTGATCATCTTGGCGCACTCCGGCCACTGTTGAGCCGAGTCAAAGTTTTCTGGGAGTTCGCCGTCGTCGATGAAGAGCACACGCTCCAAATCCCCGCGCTGGATTGCCTTTTGGATGGCCTGATGGAGGCATGGAGGCCCGTAAAGATCTATGGCAACCCCGGTCCTCCAAAAAAAGTGGAATTTGGTACGATCCAAACCTATGTTGCTTTAAGTTGTAGTGATAACACATGTTCTTTAACACGGTCTTTTTGTCCATCATTTTTTTTGGAGAGGCTACTACAGTTATCAAAAACAATTGGGGTTGGGGAACTCCAGAGTTTAAATAAGGCAACTTGCAGAACAAAGCTGATGTAACTGGATGAAAGATTCAAACAAATGTTAAATGGATGGGAATGAACAATTTTCCCCAGCAGGTTCAAGATTTGCGGAAGGTGCGTGTACGGCGTAAACCATGTTGGTGATTGCCATAAATCTGTGGACTTTGTTCACGTTCGACCCATGAAAAGATAGTGCACCCATAAACCGACCATTTTTGGATAGTGTTTCATGCCTTCCAAATTTTTGTTCAATCAACCCTTGCCCTCACACACCTTTGAAAGATCCTGGCTAATTAGTCTCAGATTACTAGATTACTAGACTATCTAGTTGCAAAATTTCAAGATGCCAAACTTTAACAATATCGTGAAACAATTTCTGGTTGTAACTTCATTACCCTCTGGCAATGAATGAAACCTTTGGCAATGGAGAACCCCCCTCTTCCGATATTTTTTATACATTGTTTTTCATGACAACCTATTTGGTCACATATGTTCCACCGCCAGGTTTGACTACTAGAAAATAAAATCATGCGAGCAAAAAAATAATAAACCGCCTCCAATTTGGAGGTGATATAAACAACCAAATGTAACTGACCTACTAATCGTACTATATCCCCGTTGGGCGTTCAACTTAGGGTCCGGCACCAGGTTTTCATCCCAAACACCTAGTTTAAAAACCTAGAGGGCGAAGGTATGAGAAAAAAAAATGAAACGATGAAAAGCCGACTTCACCCCTATGTCTGAAAATGAAAAATCAAGGTACAAAAGATTAAACTCAATGTCTCTGGGGTATGTTGAAAATTAAAAATACAAATGGCACAAGAAATGAAAACAGCAGTGCTCAGCGTGTGTTCAAAAAAAAAACTTAAACTATAAAATCAGCGCACTCCCCCAGAGAACGGTCAACCACATCCTTTTCATCCCACCCAGTTTCCGCCCCCACATCGTACCAATGCCTTGTTGGCAAAGCAAATGCCAAAGTTTTCCACGTTGGCATATCGAAAAACAACTTTTTGAGGTAACCGCTCTCCATAGTACACCACGCATTTGTGCCAACCCATCCTGAACCAAAAGGATCCACCACTAAATTTCGCATCCTTAGGCCTTAAACTTTCATCTCGCACATCCCTGCAGCTCTCCATGTTACACCACGCATTTGTGCCAACCCATCCTGAACCTACCTCCCAAAGATACATCACAAAACCTCAGGCCGCATGATTTTTCATCTCACACATCTGTTTTGAACTTTGCCGGAGCAGCTCTCCATGTTACACCACACATGTGAGCCAACCCATCCTGAACCAACATCCCAAGAACACACTACAAATTTCAGATCCGAAAATTTTCATCTCACACATCCCTGGTTTGAACTTTGCCGGAACAGCTCGCCATGTTACACCACGCATGTGGGCCAACCCATCGTGTACCAACGTCCCAAGATACACCACAAACGACTAATGACTCAATTTTGCAAACCCATCCTCATCCAACCTCCCAAGATACACCTCTCAAAATTTCAATGTTCACCGTATAGGCGGCAAAAATGTCGAGCCTTGCAAGAACACACGGTCGAATGAAAACCTGTGTGCGACCTTCAGGCCAAAAATTGTTCTCAGTAAACTTCGATGGCTTAAACAACCCGCGCCCGACCTATTGCAAAAATGCTCTGAAAAGGTGTTCCCTCGGCTGAAATCCTTTGGTTTCATCGTTTATTTAAAATCAAAGTTCTACAATATGTAAAAGGGGACCAAAAGCTAAAAAGCTGAGGTCTAACATTCTTGAGGCTAAAATTTGGCTGAAATTTGGTTAAAAAAACAGGTTCCAGCTCCAGGTTTTCATCTTGGAGTCCCAAACGGAGATCTACTATTGATCCAATGTGGCAAACCCAACAATAAATTCACTAGCCATCTCCAAAATCACCAACAATGGTTAAAGCATCCCCGAATGGAAGGCGTATCATGGCATCCTGACCTCGGACACGTTGCCCTTGACGCCGTAGCTTTTGGAATTTCCGGGCGCTTCCGCCGCAAAGCGTTCCACGAGGCCCGGGGTCCAGGTGAGCCCCGGTATCTGTTGCACCTCCGCGAGCAATGCGGCGCGCTCCGGGTGCACCTCGCCTGGAGCCGCTCCAAAAAGGTTCAGGTTCCACTTGATAAATGACACATCAATAGGAAAACACGTTTTAAATCCAAGGCCCCATGGATTGACAGCGAAATGTTAAGGAAACATGGAGAGTGTTAAATTTTCATCAATTGAACATTGTCCTGTACATATTGTTTGACACCAATTCTGCATTTTTTTGTTGGAAGTAAATTCACGATTCCACGTAATAGTATGCTTGAAATTCAAGAATGACCCCAGGCGTTTGGGCAGCGTCACTACACATGACATATAAGTCATATTACATGATATGATATTGATATCCTGGGGGATATTTTGTCGTGGTTGCCACAACGGGCATTCTAAAAGACATGGTGGTTCAGAAGCTGGGCTGGCAGACTAGCACGATCCCAGGCATTGTATTTTCCATCACGCGGTGCTGGAAAATCTCAAATCTTTCCTGCAAACTTACATCCCTCCGCATGACAATTTGCCGAAGTGCCTGACGCCAACCAAAACCCAAGTCCCAAACACAAAGCACGGGCCATGGGTTGTAAACAAAATGCGATATTGTTGAACGCTCCTGGAATTGTCTGAGCCACAACTTGCGTGCATATCATGTTTGAAAAATTCCCAGGAACCAAATTACTTACTAAACGATTTTTTTTTTTGAAGGCCAGGTTCCCTAACTGGGGTTCTTGCCTTCGCAAATCAAAGTCTGCAACGTTTCGTTCCAAAATTGCAATTTACATATTCTGACAACAGAAACATGCACACACACAGGACAAGAACTGGATCATTGTAATGATCCGTTGGGAACTGAATCCCATCACGTGCAGTTACAAAAGGTGTATATATATATATTTTTTTTAAAAAAAAAAAACTAAATAAAATGACAAGAATGTATGTATATATAGGCTATGGTGGCCACCAGCTGCGACTTAAATGCGCCCAGATGCACCACCAAAGCCCAGCAGGTACGTGCACACGGGTCCCGGGGAAGTGCCTTCGTTGATCACCGACCCCCCGGGACCTCGGCGATCCCCAGCTGTAATAAAAAATGTAAAGATGAGCCGGCCGCGAAGTTTTACGTTTATTCAAACGTCTCACACACACACACACTGGTTTGCTTGCAATGAGGTGGAAGTGAAGATGGAGAGGGGAGTGAAGATGATATGAAGGTGAAAATGAAATATAATCTTTTATCTAACCGGGACACAAGGAGGGGAACGCAGAAAAAGAGGGAAAGAACAAACACCCACACCAACACACTTGGCCCGGAGCGGGCAAACCCTGAAAGGGCAAGAGAAAAGAAAAACGGAGGCCGACGGACACGAAAAAAACCAGCGGCGCGGGGGGGGAGGACGGAAGCGTTTGAACCAACCTACCACAGCGAAACCTACGCCTACGTAGGCACGCACAGGACCCAACCTAACTCGGGAAGGAAGAACGCATGAAATAGGGGAACGAATGTGGAACTAGTTGGTGATAAAGAGTGAAGCAACAAAGTTTTAAATGGGACTCAGTTCAAGGCTAAAAGTTCGTGCGTCATTCCGTCAAACGGGACCGTTGTCGATCAAACCACATGGGGAGTAAACAGCTGTTCCAATTCAAGTGAATTAGGTGCACAACATGTTTCACCTCACCAGATACCAAAGTGACAACACTTGCAGGGAAAAACCTGAAGCCTTGCATGGAGCATGTATGTAGTGCTGATGGCATTCCTGCTGGTGAAAAACGAGTTTCAAGCTGTGCAGCGCAGCTTCACTTGAGAAAAGGTGGTTTGCCGAGGTATCGCAGGGACGGCAGGGGCAGCAGGATCCCGACAAAATGGCTGACAACAGTACGGCCAACTGACAATTCGGACGTCCAGTCGGTCAACATTCACCTTAAGGTGCCCTCAAGGGGGTCCATGGCACCATGTTTCAGCCACCATGAAATCACACCAGGCAAGAACTGGATCATTGTAGTGATCCATTGGGAACTGAATCCCCTCATGTGCAATTAGTATTTAAAAAATAAATAAATAAATAAATAAATGAATAAATGAATAAATAAATAAATCATCATATAATATTATAAATATTCGAACAATGGATGGCGCACATGTACAAATAGATTTCATTTTGATGGGCATGCGGTTACACCATGTAAGTTCCTGGAATGAGTTTGCAATTGGTATTGGTTTGGATCATCGTTGCGTTCATTGTATTTTGGAGATCCCTGGTGCGAACCCAAAACAACGCAAACGAAAACATACAGTGAAACGCTGAAGACCTTTTATGGCTGAAAAACAACAACCGAGTAACTTTCAAATTTGTGTGCGGGACCTTGTAAGATAACCTTTGCAGATCTGCAACATTTGTTGTTTATGGCTGGATTTCACTATGGAGCCTCCAGTGCAAACTTGGCTAAATTCAAATTTCCTTGCGACTAACAAGTTTGCGGCGACAAAGGCGACAGAGTCAAGACACACAAATTCGTAAACAATTGACATTTACAACCCAGAAACTGCAAAAACAGGAAATTGGAACATGGAAGTTGTTGAGAACTGTTCAGTTTGTTGCTTCATCACACCATTGGCTTTTCCTTCGCGATTTAATCCGGAAATCATTTGGCCGGACAATCGTGGACCATCCATCCGCAAATGAATTTGCGACTTACTTGTCCGACATATTTTCTGGCAACACTGTGCAAATCAATCGTCCAAACGATTTGACAGAACTTAGGTGGACACTAGGTGAGGTACAGTTCGCGGCAGCTAAACTGAAGCCGAACAATGCTGCAAGATGGTTGTGGTTTGGTGGCCGAACTGTTGAAACATGCGCCGCCCGAGTTTTTGATGGTGATGGTGGATCTGTTCAACCACGTTTTGTTCCATGGTGATGCTACCGAGACGTGGCGCAAAACATTTTCTCAAATGTTTCCGAAAAAACATAGAATTATTTTAACAACTGATTTCAGGCCGATTGCCAATATCCGTTTGCTCTACAAAACTTTTGCGTACATGATTTTGCATCGCATCGAAGCAGCCTTGGAGATGGGACAACCAGAAGAACAAAATGGTTTTCGGGCAGGATGGCGGGTGGAAGTGATCACTGCAAATTTGTTTTTGGATGAAAAACAAAAGACTCAATTTGCCAATATGGATTGTTAGCCTTGATTTGTCAAAAGCATTTGATCGGGTACATTGGCATGCCGAGCACTTCGCAGACAAGGAGTCTCAGATCATTTGGTTTGGCTTTTGGAAACACTTTATGCAGATCAACGGGGCCAAGTGATGGGACAATCGAATGATGTTAGCGATGACTTTGAAATTAATGCAGGTGTACGTCAAGGATGTGTTCTTAGTCCACGCGTTTTCTGCGCAATACTCCACGAAGCAATGCGAAGTTGGCGCAATGCAGAAGAAAAGAACCGCCTGAATTTGCAGGATGGTTTGCAACATCCGTTGGGTTTGCGGTTTGCAGATGACATTCTCCTTTTTGCGGAAACATCGCACAGATTGGTACAGCTGTTGGGCACATTGATTGAATGTTTGGAAAGTGTTGGCCCATCCTGAAATGCATCAGAAACAAACATTTTGACGACAGAAACCCAGCCCCCAAATTTCTTGAGAACAAGGCGAGGTAAACAAATTACAGTTTGGATTTTACAGGTTCGCACAAGTGGTTAGGATGCATGTTGACCACTAAAGGCTCCAAGAATTCCAACATCCACATCGAATACCATTTGCAAGCGGCAACAAACACATTTTCTGCAAACAAAACCGTTTTATGCGACAAACATGTGTCGATTTGCAAGCGGCTTCGCTACTTTCATACAGTTGTGACGCCCGTGGCTTGTTTTGGTGCAGAAAACCATACATGGAGTCCATTTATCCAATCTAGATGTTCATTTTCGGAAATTGGTAAAGAAACATAGTTGGCCCACCTCCGCGGACAAATTGGGATAGCCTTTTGGCATATCATTTTACTTGCTTGGAACGAAGGAGTCAATTATTTTGTTCAACAATCCGGTATTCCTATGTGGACAACAACTTGCTTGCACGCTACATTGCAAATTTACGTGCAAAAAATAAAGCAGATGGGTTAAAAGGTTTTACATTGGACACCAATGGGCGCTGCAACAGTGGGAAAGCCGCGCGGTGTATGGGAATCGAAAATTCAAGGATTTTGCGGCTATAAACTACTTGGAGCCTGGTTGGATTTGGCAAGTGTATGGATTGACACGACCGATGATTACGTAGGCTTTTGTTTTCCTAGGATTGTCTACTTTATTTTATCCGTATGTTTTTGCCGTTGTGGGCGTGATGCGTTGCAACAAATGCAAGGCCATGTGTTTTTTCTGCCATCGTGCCATAGCAAGAAGCAAGTGCCGCGAACCTATCCGGCAATGATGGAAACGTAACAACAATTACTTTCCCACGGCGTACGGGTTTGCATGTCCGTACCTTGCATGCCTCGTGCGCAGATCTGAATAAACCTAAAACATCGCGGCCGGCTTCTCTTTATATATCATTTTTGTGACAGCAGGGGATCACCGGGGTCCCGGGGGGGTCGGTGATCAACTAAGACACCTCCCCGGGACCCGTGTGCACGTACCTGCTAGGCTTTGGTGGTGCACCTGGCATTTAAGTCGCAGCTGGTGGCCACCATAGCCCATTGACACATATGTATATATATATATCAATATAATTCCATTATGATATTATATGATCATTTATTTATTTATTCATTGATTTTTCACAATACACTAATTGCACGTGAGGGGATTCAGTGTTCAACGGATCACTACAATGATCCAGTTCTTGCCTAGTGTTTTTCATGGTGGCTGAAACATGGTGCCATGGACCCCTTTGAAGGAATCTTAAGGTGAATGTTGACCGACTGGACGTCCGAATTGTCATTTTTAATTCCAAAATTTGTTTACGTAATGTGAAACAGTTGGCCGTACTGTTGTCAGCAATTTTGTCGAGATCCTGCTGCCTCTGCCGTCCCTGCGATACCTCGGCAAATCCACCTTTGCTCAAGTGAAGCTGCGCTGCACAGCTTGAAACTCGTTTTTCACCAGAAGGAATGCCATCAGCACTCATACATGCTCCATGCAAGGCGTCAGGTTTTTCCCTGCAAATGTGGTCACTTTGGTATCTGGTGAGGTGAAACATGTTGTGCACCTAATTCACTTGAACTTGAACAGCTGTTTACTGCCCATGTGGCTTGATCGACAACGGTCCCGTTTGAGGGAATGACGCACGAACTTTTAGCCTTGAAATGAATCCCACTTAAAACTTTGTTGCTTCAGTCTTTATCACCAACTAGTTCCACATTCGTTCCCCTATTTCATGCGTTCTTCCTTCCCGAGTTAGGTTGGGTCCTGTGCGTGCCTACGTAGGCGTAGGTTTCGCTGTGGTAGGTTGGTTCAAACGCTTCCGTCCTCCCCCCCCGCGCCGCTGGTTTTTTTCGTGTCCGTCGGCCTCCGTTTTTCTTTTCTCTTGCCCTTTCAGGGTTTGCCCGCTCCGGGCCAAGTGTGTTGGTGTGGGTGTTTG